AGATGGGAAGGGGCTGGCAATGGGTCATTTCCAGAGAAAGCTCCTCCATGTCTGTTTTTTAGACCAGTGTAGCTTGTTGAACATAATCAGGGTACATTGCAAGACTCCTCCATTCTTGACAAAGCCCGGGGGGAGGAGGCTGTGAGCATTTTGGTGGGTCAGGCTATGTTGGGAATGTGTTTATTAAGAAAAAGCACCATTCCAATTTGTAACGAGATCGTGTACATAACCCTACACTGCAGCTTGAACTTAGAGCTCAGTACATTCAAGATATAAACTACGACAAACAGAGAAAAGAAGCTACAGGGGAAAATGCCAAACTTTACTTGTTTTTAACAATTCAGACAGCAAAAGGCTGAGAAATCAGAGATGACATTTAGTAAATATTTAAAAGCAATTATCCAGACCAAAGCAGGGAGCAGGTTGCCTGTTTAGTCAACAGGAAGTCTTGTGATCTGTGTGTACAGATATAAATAACTATTTGTTTTTTCCATTCATCTCTTGCTCAGAAATCACATTTTAAATCAAGCGCCGATGGCTCCAGTTGGGTAATTTTTTTGGCTGACAGCTAAAAAGCCACCACCTGCTTCCCCTCCCCTCAAGTGAAAACCTCAGAGTAGCAGAAAAACTTTCTCTGCTCAATAAGAGCAGAAGCTGAAACCACTGAGGCAATGTCTGTGCACCCAGACCTCAAGTCAAGAACAGCAGAGAACAGGCATTTCATGATTAAACATGAGTACATAAATAAACTGACACCTTGCTAACTGCATTGAGTGTATTTCTTCAGTACTCATAGTGTCTTTGGGAGAGTAAGATGTACAGATCCCTGCCCCCACTCCCCACAGCCCTTCCAGTGTCCCTCAGCCCTGCCCTGCAGTCCCCTGCTATTCCACCCCTGCCCCCCCAGCCCTGCCTGTGCCCCTCAGCCCTGCCCTGCAGTCCCCTGCTATTCCACCCCTGCCCCCCCAGCCCTGCCTGTGCCCCTCAGCCCTGCCCTGCAGTCCCCTGCTATTCCACCCCTGCCCCCCCAGCCCTGCCTGTGCCCCTCAGCCCTGCCCTGCAGTCCCCTGCTATTCCACCCCTGCCCCCCCAGCCCTGCCTGTGCCCCTCAGCCCTGCCCTGCAGTCCCCTGCTATTCCACCCCTGCCCCCCCAGCCCTGCCTGTGCCCCTCAGCCCTGCCCTGCAGTCCCCTGCTATTCCACCCCTGCCCCCCCAGCCCTGCCTGTGCCCCTCAGCCCTGCCCTGCAGTCCCCTGCTATTCCACCCCTGCCCCCCCAGCCCTGCCTGTGCCCCTCAGCCCTGCCCTGCAGTCCCCTGCTATTCCACCCCTGCCCCCCCAGCCCTGCCTGTGCCCCTCAGCCCTGCCCTGCAGTCCCCTGCTATTCCACCCCTGCCCCCCCAGCCCTGCCTGTGCCCCTCAGCCCTGCCCTGCAGTCCCCTGCTATTCCACCCCTGCCCCCCCAGCCCTGCCTGTGCCCCTCAGCCCTGCCCTGCAGTCCCCTGCTATTCCACCCCTGCCCCCCCAGCCCTGCCTGTGCCCCTCAGCCCTGCCCTGCAGTCCCCTGCTATTCCACCCCTGCCCCCCCAGCCCTGCCTGTGCCCCTCAGCCCTGCCCTGCAGTCCCCTGCTATTCCACCCCTGGGCTCCCCACACAGCTCTGCCAATGCCCCATTCAACTTTTCTTCCCCCTGCCTGTTTCTCTCTCTGGGTGTCTTGAGACAATACGGGTTTCAGCCCTTGAAATCTAGTAGCTGACATATTATCTATCATGAAGGAATCCAAGCTCACATGCCAGGCTGGAGGGAAGAAGGGAGAAAGGGGAAGGTGGGAAATGGGGGCTAGAGTGACTTGTCCACTATGCACAGGTGTGGAGGATGTGGTGAGAGCCCAGGCAGTGAGCAGCAACTATCCTGTGTGTCTTCGCCAGTGCCTGGCTGCAACATGCGGTTGACTGCGTGTCTCATTTACAGTAAGAAAAATGCAGAGTCAGCAATCAAAGCTAAAACAGCATCTCTGCACTGAGAACTGAAGTGTTTGATGGGGGAGCTGAACTGCTGCGAGCTATTCGGTGCTGTTTGTGCAGTGCTAATTCCTAGGGCTGTGCAGAAGACCTTAGTCTCCAACACTGTTCACCCATCTCTTTCCCACTCTGTGACTCTGCTCTGGGCACATACACTGGACCCAGCCCTCTTCACCTCTGCCCATTCTGTACTCATCTGCACACCCTCCCCGTACACAGCGAGCAACACTCTGCAGTCCCATGCCACACCCCTCTCCCAGAGCAGAAGCCCAGATGCCCCGTCATCATCGAGTCATCAAGCAGTAGGCCCCCATGTCCAGCAGGGAATATCCATCCTCTCTCCGCCAATACCATCCTGCTTCTGGGGCTACACAACAGGCTTAGTCTCCAGCTCTACCCATCCTTCCTATTCTGCTCGCCCTGCTCCCACCCCCATAGTCCCCATCCCAGGGATACTTGATACTCGGTACCTCAAAGCATAAGAATGGCCATACTGTGTCAGACCAAAGGTCCATCTAGCCCAGTATCCTGTCCTCTGAGAGTGGCTAATGCCAGTTACTGATGCAGTAAGATATTCTCTGTCTTATTCTCTATCCCTTTCTTAATGATTCCTAACATTGTTTGCTTTTTTTGACTGCCGCTGCACACTGAGTGGATGTTTGCAGAGTGACAATGACTCCACAATGACTGCAAGATCTTTCTCTTGAGTGGTAACATTTATTTTAGTCCCTATCATTTTATACATATAATTGAGATTATTTTTCCAATGTGCATTACTTAGCATTTCTTAACATTAAAATTCATCTGCCATTTTGTTGCCTCGTCACCTAATTCTGTGATATCCTTTTGAAGCTCTTCAAAGTCTGCTAACTGTTAACTATTTTGCCACCTCACTGTTTACCTCTATCTCCAGACTATTTATGAACATGTTGAATAGGATTGGTCCCAGTATGGACTCCTGGGTGACACCATTAGTTACCCCTTTCCATTCTGAAAACTGACCATTTATTCCTACCCTTTGTTTCCTGTCTTTTAACCGGTTATCAGTCCATGAGAGGACTTTCCCTCTTATCCTATGACAGCTTACTTTACTTAACAGTCTTTGGTGAGGGATCTTTTGAAAGCCTTTCTGGACATCTTAAGGGCATCTCTGGATGCCCCTAGTAGATTGGTGAGGCATACTTTCCCTTTACAGACACCATGTTGACTTTTCCCCAACCAATTCTGTTTAGCACCCTGAGACCCCCACATTAACCACTGTCATATAATTAGGATATGTTTTGTACAAAGTATGCCTTGTGAAGTATTCTAAATGTCTTGATCTGCTGAACATGAATATCCTGCAGATTGTATGTGCTATCATTATATGTGGAGTTAGGAAGTTTTGCTCTGTGCTACTGAAATATGTTGTGAACTTGGGAACACCTACAGCCAGCCTTTCAGGTGCAACATTGAAGTAGCCAGACAGCTCATCAACACTCATCAAGGGAAGAATCCACCATCCTAGAGACTTCTCAGGGGGAGCACATATACAATGGATACTGCTTAACCAATGGGGACTGACTGATCTCCATGTTAGGGCAAAAGACATTTTCAGCAAGCTGGAAGAACATATCAGAGAGGAAAAGTGATTTCATCACTCGGGCTCTCTCCCCTCACAACTCAACACCTGGTAGAACATCTGAATGACAACTCTGAACTGGGGAAGGATGGTCCCAGGCTGGAAAAGAGTCTCCCCCCTGCACTGTGAATTGAGGAACTGTGACCTGTTTGTACAGATGAGACTGTGCTTGATTACAGTTCTGCTTAGACAGAAAATTCATTTTTGTTTCTGTAATCTCTATGCTTGCTACTTGTCATCATGTAAAATTTACTTTTCTGAAGGTAATAAATCTCTTTTATCTTTACTTAAAACTGGGTTTTGGTTGAAGTGCTTGGGAAATCTCCGCTTAGTTCACAAAGGTGTGTTTTCTCCACATCAAGGGAGGGCAGACTGAGTAGTAAACTTATACCAGCCAGGTTTCTGACCAGTGCATGACAGGACAATTCTGAAGTGCAAGGCTGGGAAGCTGACGGGATGGGGGGATGATGGTTTGTAAGTGCCTGGGTTTGTGGCTTGACAAAGAATCAAGTCAGTATGGGTATGTCTACACTACCACACTAGTTTGAACTAGGGTGGTTAATGTAGGCAATCGAAGTTGCAAATGAAACCTGGGATTTAAATACCCCGGGCTTCATTTGCATCTTGCCAGGCGCCGCCATTTTTAAATCCCCATTAGTGCGGACACCGTGCCCGCGGCTACACCCGGCACGGAGGAGGTAGTTCGAATTAGGCTTTCTAATTCGAACTACCGTTACACCTCGTTCCACGTGGAACGGTAGTTCAAATTAGAAAGCCTAATTCAAACTACCTACTCTGTGCCGCGTGTAGCTGCGGGCACGGAGTCTGCACTAATGGGGATTTAAAAATGGCGGCACCCGGCAAGGTGCAAATGAAGCCCAGGATATTTAAATCCCGGGCGTCATTTGCAACTTCGAATGCCTACATTAGCCACCCTAGTTCGAACTAGGGAGGCAGTGTAGACATACCCTTACAGACTGACATGACTACCCCTCTGAAACTATTGAAACAAGGTGGCTTGACAGACTTTAAATTGGTGAGATTAGTACCTGGCTGTGAAGGAAGGACAGAGGGCTCAGTGGTCCAGTGGTCCCTCAGTCCAGTTTGCACCTGGAGGACCACATTACAGGTACCCCACCGGCTTTGCCCTGCTCCAGAGCTGTCTGCCTGTTTCCTCTCCTTGCCCTGCACCCAGCTATATCTCCTTTGACCTGGTCATACCTGAAGAACTGAGATCACTAGTGCTGTCCTGCTGCAGTCATCTATGACCTGAGAAGAAACTCAGCATTTCATCACAAAGTTATTTTTCAGAATGATAGCAACCCAATTGTGGTTGTGGTTTCTCAGTCCAAACCTACCTCCTACACACTCGTTTGCTCTGCAGTTGCACGGCTGCCAAGCTATTAACAGTACAAAGCAGCTCCATTCAGAGTAGTTTGGTATCAGCTTCTCGCCACAGCTGGCTCTGTTTTTTACAGAGCTCCGTGCTGGGAAAGGCTGAGACTGCAGTAGCTGGTAGCCCTGTACAGTCCACATTCCGAAGCATCCCTCAAAATGTCTCCCACTTGGAGCACAGCAGCTGAGAGCTCCTACCGCAATATATCCTGCACTTGTCCATGCTGCAGCTGGGAGACCCTAGGAACAGAGTAGCCGAGAGATAGTGTTACTGCCTTTTACAGTGCATCCTACTAGCAAATGGAGAAAAGTCTCAGAGGGGTGCCGTGTGAACCTGTAACTAAAAACAATGAGCAGTCCTGTGGCAGCTTTGTGACTAACAAATATATTGTATCATGAGCTTTCGTGGGTAGCAAATGGAGCGGCATTTTTCTGAGGTTTTCAAATCTTTCTCCTCTCCCAATTAATTTTCTCCCTTAGAACAAGCTACCACCTTGTTCCTTCACTGACCTGAGCCAGGGAGAAGGTAAGACCCTCATCTCAGGCTCCCCACTCTTCATAGAAGGCTGCTGCTGGAGATTGGGAACATCAGTGCTAGAGTCCCCTCCCGCCCCCCAGAACTCCATTTGTGTTGAGAGTCTCTGGGTTAGGCTAAACAAAATGATGATCTCAGTACTATCTACTACAGGCCACCTACCCAGGTGGAAGTGGATAAGGCTTTTTTTAAATAAATAACAAAATTATTCAAAAAGCCCAAGATTTGGTGGTGATGGGGGACTTCAACTATCCAGATATATGTTGGGAAAATAACACTGCAGGACATAGACTATCCAATAAGTTATTGGACTGCATTGGAGACAACTTTTTATTTCAGAAGGTTGAAAAAGCTATCAGGGGGGAAACTGTTCTAGATTTGATCCTAACAAATAGGGAGGAAATAGTTGAGAATTTGAAAGTGGAAGACAGCTTGGGTGAAAGTGATCATGAAAATCATAGAGTTCACAATTCTAAGGAAGGGTAGAAGGGAGAACAGCAAAATAGAGACAGTGGATTTCAGGAAGGCACATTTTGGTAAGCTCAGAGAGCTGATAAATAAGGTCCCATGGGAATCGAGACTAGGGGAAAATACAACTGAGGAGAGTTGGCAGTTAGCTGATAAGAATACTTAGTATCCACTTTAAGTATCCTTTGTTTTTCTTATGTCATTAGAATGTGGAATTTAGCGGGCCATCCACTCAATGTCTTTGTTTAGACTTCTGTTGTAGGATTCAAACTTGTAAATGAAATTAAGTTCTGTAGCTTCCCTGTCAAGCTGGCTTTTGAAATTGGTTTGAAATAATACAGTGACTTTGAAATCCATTAATGAGGGCCCGTGCAAGTTCAGATGTTCTCCAACAAGTTTCTATGTGTTGCTTTGTTGGATATCTGATTTGTGTCCATTAAATCTCTCTTGTAGAAACTGTCCAGCTTGGCTAATATACACGGCAGAGGGGCACACTCCACATCCTAATGACATAAAAATCCAAAGGGTACTTAAAGTGGGTACTAAGTATTCTTATCAGCTTCATTTAGCATGGACACCAATTGGCAATTTCTTTCCCCTTTTTCCTCATCTTTCTTCCCTCTCTCCTCCCCCCCCCCCCAGAAGGTAATGAAGTATTAACAATAAACAAAACCATCTCCAGCAACATTAGGAGAAGCAGATGAGTATTTTTTATACCTGACAGACTACCAATTTAAGGTCATCAGAATCTTTTTTTGCCACTTTATTGAAATATTTATAGTCATGCATACTGTTAACATAATAACTACCAGATATTTCAGAAAAAAATACTAAGTTTATTATATCACAGTATAGATGTGGGGAAAACAAATTATCTGGTAAATTGAGCTTGCTGCTCTCAGATAAATATTCCTTGTGAATACTTCATTCGCTGATTACATGCTCACATTCCTTTTCAGCTTCCATCTATGTTTCATATCCAAGAGGTGTGCTTAGTGTCATGTAAATGACACACCAAATGTGGCTGGCACTAGGTTGGAGACTCTGACGATTTAGGGGAATCCACCTGAAATGTATATTTATTTCTTTTTAGCTCATGCAAAAATAACCAACACTTTGTAAATTAACTTTTTGCTGCCCTCATTCTCCATCCTCAAGGAGCTGATAGAGGATGTAGCTGAGCCTCTAGCTATCATCTTTGGAAAATCATGGGAGACAGGAGAGATTCCAGAAGACTGGAAAAGGGCAAATATACTGTCCATTTATAAAAAGGGAAATAAGACCAAACCAGAAAACTACAGACCAGTTAGTTTAACTTCTGTGCCAGAGAAGATAATGGAGCAAGTAATTAAGGAAATCATCTGTAAACACTTGGAAGGTGACAAGGTGATAGGGAACAGCCAGCATGGATTTGTAAAGAACAAACCATGTCAAACCAATCTGATAGCATTTTTTGATGGGATAACGAGTCTTGTGGATAAGGGAGAAGCGGTGGATGTGGTATATCTGGACTTTAGTAAGGTGTTTGATACGGTTTCGCATGATATTCTTATCAATAAACTAGGCAAATACAACTTAGATGGGGCTACTATAAGGTGGGTGCATAACTAGCTGGATAACCGTACTCAGAGAGTAGTTATTAATGGTTCACAATCCTGCTGGAAAGGAGTAACTAATCAGGTTCTGCAGAGGCCTGTTTTGGGACCAGCTATGTTTAATATCTTCATCAACGATTTAGATATCGGCATACTGAGTACGCATATTAAGTTTGCAGATGATACCAAGGTGGGAGGGGTTGCGACTGCTCTGGAGGATAGGGTCATAATTCAAAATGATCTGGACAAATTGGAGAAATGGTCTGAGGTAAACAGGATGAAGTTTAATAAGGACAAATGCAAAGTACTCCACTTAGGAAGGAACAATCAGTTTCACACATGCAGAATGGGAAGCGACCGTCTAGAAAGGAGTATGGCAGAAAGGGATCTAGGGGTTATAGTGGACCACAAGCTGAATATGAGTCAGCAGTGTGATGCTGTTGCAAATAAAGCAAACATGATTCTGGGATGCTGTTGCCCGTTCACCCAAAGCCACTCCGAGTTCGGGTGGGGAGTTGTCCCGTGTCTACGGTCCCACCCGAAGGGACTTTCCAATTTCTATATATATAATGATGTGTTTAGACCCGCTTACTTGCTAGGTGCCAGGAAGAGGGCTCGGGCCCTCCCTCTCTCTGAGCTCCGACCCAGGGCCCTAAGGTAGGGACACTTGTCCCTAGACAGTGGAGGGGGCTGAGACCCCTAAACCCTCCACTCACGGGGTCCACGGCCCTGCCCTGGGCCACTTCTTCCCGGTCAGAGTCCTGTTCCCCAGCGCGGGGATAAGCTTACCCCTGCTCACCTCCTCCCGGGGGTGGG